AAGAAAAGGGGCAAAGGGGAAGGAAGTGGGAGGGGGAGGGGAAAGGAAAGAATGGAATGGAATTAATATGAGAAAATGAAAAAATGGAAACAAAATCTTTGTAAATGGGGAGGGATGGAGGGGTTGGAGGAAGGGCAGGGGAATGGGGAAAAACAAGAACCAAGAGATTATGTAAAGGTGCAAATTTCCAATGATAAATGTCATTATATTGTATACCTAAAATGTACCAATAAAATTAATTTAAAAAATAAATACGAAGACACATATAGAGAAAAGTAAAGGGGTGGAGATTAATGCACTATGCTAACACTAATCAAAAGCAAGCAGGAGGGGCGGGGGATTTAGCTCAGTGGTTCTGCTGCCTGCCTTGCAAGTGCAAGGACTAGAGTTCAATCCCAGGTACCAAAAAAGAAACCAGCCAAAAAACAAAAAAAAAAAAGAAATCAGGAGTAGGTACATTAATTTCAGATAGAGCAGACTTTAGTTCAAGGAAAGTTATCTGGGATAAAGAGAAGCATTGCATAATGGTAAAGGTTTCAGTTCTCCAAGAAAATATAATAATACTTAATGTGTGCTATGGCTTGTGTCTAGATGTCCCCCAAAACCTCATGCAGTCATAGGTGGGGCTTTTTCAGAGGTGGCTGCATCTTGAGTATGTGATTAATTCATGGTGCAATGCTAGGGTTGAGGGTGTTAGGATTATGCATAGGTGATTACTAAATCAGTTCACTGATTGGTTTGGCACTGCCCTAGTCCCAGTAGCCTGGATACAATATAAGGGACAGAAAGAGGCTTATCTTGTCCCTTGCTTGCTTTTGCCGTCTTCTGCATGCAATGAACTGCTTCTCCTGTGATGCTCCTCTAACATGCCACCCTGACTTACTATGGACTGAAACCTCTACTAACTGTAAGCCAAATAAACTTTTCCTAATTTAACTCTGGGTGTCAGGTATTTTGTCTCAGCAATGAGAAAAGTAACTAAGCACTTAACACCAGAGTGTCAAAATATACAAGGCAAAATGATAGAACTGCAAGGAGAAACAGAAGAATCCACTATCATAGTTAGACTTTAATACCCCAAATCAGAAATGAACAAATCCAGCAGAGAATCAGTAAGCAAATACTGAACTCAACAACACAATTAACTGGATGTAAGTGACACTTATAAGTAACTTCATCCAACAACAGCAAATTATAATTCTCAAGTTTACATGGAATATTCACCAAGATAAGCCACATCCTGGGACTTAAAACACAACCTTAACAAATATAAAGGAACAGAAATCATACAATGTCTTCTCTCAGACCACAAAAAAGTTAAATTAGAAACCAAAATAAAAAACAAAGCTGGAAAATGAAACACTTGGAGGATAAACAACAAACAATTCTAACACATGGATGAAAGAAGAAATTTCAAGAGAAAGTTAAAAATGTTTTGAGCTAAACCTCAATTGGACAAGAAATAGTACCAAGAATCAACAAGTGGGATATATCAAATTTAAAAGCTTCTGTACAACAAAGTAAACAACCAACAGAGTGAAGAGACAGCCTACAGAATAGGAAAATTTTTGTCAGCTATTCCTCAGAGGACTAATATCTAAAATATATAAGAACTCAAAAACCAGACTCCCCAAAATAAAAGACCCAATCAAAAATTGTACATATGAAATGAATAGATAATTCTCCGACAAATGGCCAATAAATGAAAAAATATTCATCACCTCTGGCCATCAGAGAAAAGCAAATTAATCACACCAAGATTCCATCTTACTGCAGAAAGAAAGGCTATCATCAAGAAAGCAAATGATAATGAATGCTGGTGAGGCTGTGGAGAAAAGGGGACCCCTCTACATTATGTAAACTATGGATATTAGTCAGAGATTCCTCAAAAAATTAAAACTAAAAATCATTATGCATTGGAAATATGTATTACTAACAAATAAAAACTGGAAAAAATAAAGTTCTAAGTTAGAATGCAAAAAATTATTTTAAGCTAAAAATGAAAAAACTGCATATCAAAATTTGATGAAACAGAAGTAGTGATTAAAAGAAAATTTATAGCACAGACTGTATATATGAGATAAGAAACCTCGAAAGTAGCTGTAGAGTCCCCAGCAATGGTAAGCACATGACCATTATGCTAGTGATGTAGGTGATGGTACCAGGCACTCATTTCCCATAGAGACCCCTTGTCTGGGAAATTCAATGCTTATGTTTGACAGAATGTATTGCCAGCACAACTTGAACATTTAAAGTGAAAAATGAAAAAAAGGTACCAGTAAATCTGAAGAAACTACTTAGAAGCTTGAGTCCAAAGCAGTCTAACAGGTGGCCACGCCATGTGCAAACTGCCAATTTTGCTTTAGATCCAATTACCCTGAGAATTTCCTTTGAAGTATAATAGACACAGTGAAAATGGCTAATATTTCAAAATAAGGCAATATAACCTTCCAATAAAAGCTGATCAATAAATAAAAGAAGAATCTATATGCATCATTTCTTTCATTGCTGAGCTCAAACAGCTTCTGTTAGTGTGTGACAAGTATGGGCTAATGGGGCTGAGGACTGCAGGGATGAGGGAGCAAAGGGATCAGGGTGGCACTGTGTGGTCACGGTGCCACATATGCCAGTGCAGCAGGACACAGCCGAAGTGATTGTGGGTATCTGCACTCCTCACCTCTTCTGGCCTCTATGCCTGTGGCTGATGCTGAGCAGCCTCTGGATTGAGCTTTATCCAACTGCTCATGCTGCCCAATGGCAGATGCCTTATAGGGGAGTCATCAACATCTGCACTGCTTTCACAAAAAATCAAAGGAAAACTTTACTGAACAATACTACAAACAGGTATCACTGTACAACTATTAAAGCAGCTCTTCAAATTTTAACTTTCTTTTCAGTGCTGGGGATTAAACTCAGGACCTCACACATGCTCAATAAGTGTTCTGCCACCGATATACATCCTCAACCCCAGCTCCTCAAATTTTAATAATAGTCAAGAAAGAGGCTGGTAGGAATGTGGTGAAATAGCACACTTACATGCTGTCACTTGAGATAAAACTGGAAACTCACTTGGCCATGAAAATGACTCTCCAATGTTTTGTGACTGTGTAATACTCCACTGTGTAGATATATAATTTGTGCCATAACAACAACTAAATATTCTCTTTCTATTGGTTATTTAGGTTGTTTTTAGTTTGTTTTTGCTAGTTTATCTGCAGGGTTTCCCTTAATGTTAAAATGAAAGGTGTAAACAATCAAATTGTTCAACTATAGGGAAATAATGATTCAGTGAAATACTCTGTACACCATTAAAAATAATTAGTGGTGCCTGGGAGTGTAGCTCAGAGGAGAATGCATTCTTTTTTTTTTCTTAGTTTCATAGGCTTTAACACAGCATTTTATACAATACAGTACAGTCTGAGATTTCTGCTTATAAGTTACCCACTTAGCAGACCATTATTATTATTATTATTTTTGGTACTGGGGATTGAACTCGGGTCCTTGAGCTTGCGCAGCAGGGGGTGAAACCACTGAGCTAAATCCCCAGCTGGAGAATGCATTCTTAGCATGTATGAGACACTACACTGAGGTAGGGGGATAATAATTAGCAAAAACATGAAAATATCCCCCAAATAGGGTAAAATACTAAGCAAGGAAAAGCAGAATGCCATATAATACTTGTATTAGGACTGTAGCTTTAGAAATATACTCATGCTTTCATGAAACCAGAGATACAAATGAGTAGGGAAAAAATAGAAACATCAGATATAATGGTATAGCGTGACTGTACAAGATCATTCAAATTATTTCCTTTATGGTCAAGATGTTGTTGGTATTACAAACACCACAACAACAAAAACTCCTCAATGGGCCAATGATTTGTGCTTGTTGTACTCAGGACAAAATGACAATATAAACTACATTGTAGCATGAGTTCAGATTCCACAGAAATTACCTGCAAGTTGAGCTGTGACTGCTTGGAATGGCAGCTTTCGGAATACGTCCATGAGGGGCTGAACTTTCCTTATGTTGATTAATTCATGCTTGCCATAATCCAGTTCATACACGGATACAAGTCCATTGGTCAGGATTCCTTTTAAAAGCACCCTGTACCACCTAGGTACACATCCGATTAAAAGGAGAAAACACAGTCAGCAGCTGCTTTAAGGTTAAGTAGATATGGTAGAAAATTAATGGCGAAATATCAAAATACAAAACTATACTCTCATAGAAGTTTTTAATCTGATGATTAAATCTGACTTGTAAACTTGTTCAATGATGTTTTCCTTTGATCTTCTGTGAAAGCAGTACAGATGTTGATTGCTCCCCTGTTGGCACGTGCCATTAGGTAGGATCATCCAAGAGATTTTTATAGGCCTCACAGAGCCAGTGGAGGAGGGCACTGATAATGTAAATTAACAACCATCCTTAAGTGGAATGAAACAGATGCCAGGGAGGATAATTAGCACACGGCCAGGGGACCCTTTCAGCCTATGGAGACAGAAGACAGGCACGTGTGGTACTCGGTCCATATTAGGAAGATGGAAAGCAGTACACAAGCTGGAGCTCAAGAAGTTCTTGAGATAAAAGCACAGAAGGTTCAAGAGGGCATGGTGGTTTGAAGCAATAATGCTAGAAGGGACAATGTGCAGAGATGGAAAGTCAGAATAGGATGGGAGGTTGAGGAGAGATTACAACAGTTTTGAATGAAAAGTTTACAGTTTAATTATGCCAAATGAGAACATTAAACACCAAAGCAAAACAAAACCCAACCCATCTTCTAAAAGACAGAACCTGGAAAAGGTAGGAAAGCGTGGGGGAGGAAGAGGAGCTTGGTTTCAGCTCTGGAGCTCAAGGTACCAGAAAGAGATTCACATGAATATACTTTTTCCCCAACCTGGGCCTACATTAACATTGTCAAAAAAATGAGAAATACCCAGACAACAAGTTTAATATAAGAAAGACCACTTTAAAGTCTTAGTTTCAATCACATGATTAAAAAGGACAAATAGATTATGGAAAGGAACACTATGGTCTTGGCACCTGAATGGTGTGAACCTGCCTCCCCCTCAGCTAGCAGGCCCAGCTATTCTCTGGAAAGGTTTATCAGCCACAAGTCCACTGCAAGAGCAGACCCTTTACTGGAATACACTGCTAGGCTGGGCTGGCCAGCAAACATCTAGAGGAGAACGGGTCTAGGAACCCATGCAGGTCCCCTAAGGTGAACAAAGGGGACAACTTTACATAGTATGTGACTGGGGGAGTTCTGGAAGAACTCCTGAAACCTTCAGATGGGTTCAAAGTGCAAGGAGCAATAATGCATGAGCTCCAAACACAACTGGGGCACAGAAAAGATTCATGACTAGCTGAGCTCTGGGGGCTAAGCAGACTTGAGCTGGAGTCACACCTGGGCCATTTTCCAGTTGTGTCACAGAAGGCTCTTTATTTACCCTCTCTGAGCTTCAGTTATCTCCAGCAATAGTTAATTTTAATTCACTTGCATAAATACTATGTAAAAAGTGCCTAGCACATTACTTGGCATAATAGTAGATACTTAGCAAATGGTAGCTATGATGTAGAAGAAAAACTGTATAAATATGAACTTCAAACCAAATTGGAAAGGAGTTTCCATATGTGGAAATGCCAGTTTGGTAAAGGCTGCTAATTTGTGTAAGTGCAAGGCATGATGAAAACACTTAGTTATCACCAATTGCTATTGTCTTTAAATTACATGGGGGAAAATGATGGTGGTCTTTACTGTTAGTCCATAAATAAGTGCAGAGCAGTGAGGATAAAGTCTCAGAAAAATATGTTGTATTTCTATTTATCTTTTGATTTTCCAAACTAGTAGCTTACATAAAAGGCTTCAGTTTTGACTAGATTACCAACTTCAGTGTAGGGTGTTGCCTGTAGTTTGTTAAAAACTCAAGATTCTGGGGCTCCACTAGAGAGTCTGATTCAAAAAGTCTGGGGTAAGGAAGGAGAATCTGTATTTTGGGCCTGGGGGTGGTGGTGGTGGCGGCAGGAATCGAACTCAGGGACTTGTGCTTGCCAGGCGGATGCTGAGCCACTGAGCTATATTCCCAGCTCAGAGGATCTGTATTTTTAACAGTATTTCCAGGCATTTCTTAATTAGACAGATTTGAAAACTACTGCAATAAAAAGTGCTATCTGATATTCCTAAGTCTTAACTTACTGTGGTTGGGAACAAGGCTTAGTAAATAGTTCTGAGACTTAAGCAAGATTAGAAGCTCTATACACTTTATACTTGTAAAGTGTGTGTGACTTTTAAAAAATCAGATTATTTGTTCTTATCTATAAAATATCCATTGGTTATCTGGTAACAAATTAGCTTGTTTAAATCTGAGTCTTGGGGCTGGGGATTTAGTTTAGTGGTGCCGCCGCCTGCCTCAAAAGTGCAAGGTCCTGAGTTTGATCCCTGGTACCAAAAAAAACCAAGAAACAAAAAGAAACCCCATTAAATCCAAGTCTTGGGACAGAATTGTTCAAACTCATGAAGGCTAGGTGAGGAGTTAAGAGAGCCTACACTACAGGTCTCTAGTTCATGAGTTCTTCCACATACAACTCCTTTCCTGAAAGTAGGAACTTCCTACCATTAATCATCATTAATTTGTTCCCTCCTTCGTAACTGGTTACAACTAGTTTAGTTTTAATTGTAATTAAATTATCCTGCAAAGAGTTCTGCTTGAAGCAAATTTACACAAATTGAAAAGCGTGTGACATATAGTTTGTATATTATTCAAAATGAGCGCTATTAGACTTTCACTTTTGAGAGCTGAAAATTAGGTTTATTTCTCCCATGAAAATGGCATGTTTGTTATCTTAATGCCTATGTTTGTTATCTTAAGAATAAAAGCATTTCACATAAAAAAAAAAAGTTTGACCTTTTAAACTGAATATTGGGATAGTGTGTATGTATGTGTTTTAGAGAGAAGAGAGAAAACAGATTTTTATCTTCAGCATTAACAAACAAGCTCATTCATTTCCCCTAGGAAAGCTGGGATGCAGACAGTACAGGCACAGTTGTGTCACTTGCCAGGGCTTGGTGGCATGCATAAAGAGGGATGGTAGAAACTGGAGAGCTTGGGCTTCGTTAGGATGAAGCCAGCACATCCCAAAGGATTTTAGAGAGCAGGCATGGTTCCAAATGTGACAATACGGGAAAAAAGATGCAAGCATTAAGCAAACCTAAGAATACAGTTTTCAGGGTCCCAAGGCCCCACATTAGTGAAATAATGCACTGTCATTCCTTACAAAAGGTAGCACACGGCTAGGAAGCAACTGGCAACGTATCTAAAAAATTTGGGGGCTGGGGCTTTAGCTCAGTGGCGCCATGCCTACCTTGCAAGTGCAAGGTCCTAAGTTCAATCCCCAGTAAGAAAAAGAAAAAAAAATTTTTTTGTCATCTTTTAACAAGGAATTTTTCTTCTAGGAAATAACCACAATTAGAAAGATTTATAATTTATAATAATCTATTATTATTTGTAATAGTGAAAAATCTGGGAGGAAAAACCCTTCATAACAACAAAAGAAAATGTTAATTAAGATTTCTCCATGACAAATTACCATTAAAAATATCTCTAAAATTTACTATGTGGAAAAATGTTTGTAGCATAATGTAAGGGGGAAAACGCAGGTATAACTTTACCTGTAATAATAATAATAATAATACACCAGTTATATAAACATGCATAGAAAAAACTAGAAGAAATTTACATAAGCAGTTTAACAAGTGCTAAGTTTGGGTAGCTGATTTTAGTTTCTTGTGCTTTTATGTATTTTCTAAATTTTTCATAATAAACATTTTAAAATAAGGAAGTTATTCAATTAAAAAACGGATTTTTGGAACAAAAATAATATTCTAATAGAAAAATAGGGACAACATTTAAACCTTTATTTTAGGTAATAATTAAATTTTAACAGGAATATGATTACTAGATTTTTAGATAAATGACATTATTTTAAATATGAGAAAAGCTATACAATTCACTCATTTTTCTTTACATTCAAAATTCCCATTCTTGAATATACCCTGAGACTATAAAGCAAACTAAAAGGCAGATGATGGGAAACAGGGAGGTCAACTTTGTAGAGATGGGAAGGGGACCTAAAGATGAGGGAAGATGGGCAGTAAAGATGGGGAAGGGAAAGTAAAAATGATTCAGAGGATACATATGTGTATCAATATCACCTGATGAATGTATTCATTATGTATTGCAAACATATACTAATAATTTCCTTTCCTGAGGTTCAAAATCCCCTTAAAGAGATTAAAGACCCTTGGCATTGATCTACAAATTCTTCTTAGGTGTCAAATAGAATAAAAGGCTTTGTCCAAGGACCTACTTATTTTCCACCTTTGCAGCATACACTTGGTCTTTTTCCAGTGGTATGTGGCGCTCTTCAGACACACTATAATACAGAATCATCTCTTCCATCAGGACTTCCAGCTTATGGATCTCCTGCCAAGGTTGGATGACAAAGTAGCCTGGGTGACAGGCCACAGGCACATACACATCCATGTGCTGCCCAGGCTTTGACAAGTGGACAGGAGGTGGCAGCTCCTCCATGGAGAAGGAACAAGTATAGTCCACCATGGGCTTTTTGATGACTTTGGGGATGTTTTTTTTGACATTGTCTCCTATGCTACCTGCCACAGGCACACTGCCATTTCTGCTGCTGGGAGAGCTGACTGTGCTGGACACAGCACTCAGAAATACATCCTTCTGATGCTTCCACAGGTCTGCATTTGTAATCTGGTGGTTAATACTGCGATGAGGATCAGGGAAGTTCTTAGGAGTAAATAAATACACATACGCAATCCCCTTGGTTTCATCCACTTTTGTAACCTTTGGAAAATGCAAAAAAAAACGATATAAGAAATCCAAATTCACATTGAATTCTGAGAGGCAATTATATTAACCTTAAATATTAAATGTAGTATTTTGCAAAGAAAAAACTTGCTAAGGTTCACTTTAAGGTAAGGTGAACCATCTATCACAGTATAGCAATAAATAGACAACTCAAAATAGCCCATAAGGCAACTGTAATCTAATAGAAATGAAAAACTGAGAAAACCTTAAAACTTGCTAGAGGTTGTTATCATAGAGAAAAAGGAAGTAGTTCTATATGTCATAATTAAAGTTTTTAAATTAATGACATTTCAAAAGATTCAAAATAGAAAGAATAGTATAATGAACTCCTATGTGCTCGTCACCCAACCTCAACAATAAAAACAATCCTGAGAGGGCAAAAGGTTTGATAAGCATTTGGTGTCAGGCTGGTGCACCCTCTGACTTGGTGGGAAGGAAAAAGCTTTGATGTCCAACACATTCATAAAGATTTCTGGTCTAAATTCCCTGTTTAGTTCTAATATATGTGCTTTCCTCCCATCTCCCTCCCAGCCAAATAGAGAAAAGGGACCTAGGGGGAAAAAGAGTTTGATGAAAGCCCATAGCACAGGCCTAGATGGCAATTTTGAACTTTTGCCCAGGGGACCTTCTGACTTCTTAACTACCTCTGCTCTTTCTATAAGGGGTTGCCTATGTGAGACCAAACACTGATAACTGGGGTGGCTCTGTCACGTGTCCCAAAGGCATCAGCTCCTCTGATTTATCTTAAGATTTATCTGGTTTACCTTAGGAAGGACAAAAGTGAGATACTTTCAGCTACATCTTTAAACACAACTAGAAATAAAAGGCAGAAACAGAGGAAGAGAGGGAGACACCAGTAAAGCACTCCATCACACTAATTTACATTTAAAAAGTCTTTTTCCCCAGATATACAAGTGTATTTAAATTCATCCTTTGAAATACTAATGAGATGCTGACTTCTAATTTATTTTGATATTTATGATAGAGGTATCATTTTAAAATTTACCATTAAGAAGTATTTTTATTGAATATCCTATACCATGGCTTTAGGAGCTTGACAAGTAGCTGAGACACTAACAAGTAGCTGAAAAAACAGCTACTTCATTAACATGTGACAACTGCAAAATATTAAACAGTACATAATTATGCATGCAATGCTATAACCCTTAGAGAAGTATATAGATAGGAAAGTTTTGTTAGAGTGTTTTAGAAAGCTTAGTGAAGATACAGCTTAAGCCATTTCATGGTCACATATTTATATAAAATAGTATCTGCATCAGCTAATAAAAGAAAAAAATCTCACATTTCTGGTCCTGGAAATATGAAGAAGGTTTTTGAAGATGCAAAAGTGCAGAAAAATGAAACAAGAGCAAGTGAAAGAAGCAAAGCAGTTTAAACTTACAAAAAAACAGAGCAAATGCCAAAATTAAAAACAAATGAAGATAATACATTTTATGCTAGGGAAAAATAGTGGACTTAATTGATTCTCAGAAACATATATCAAGAGATATGTGATTAAGTCCTCTGTAGGGGACTTAATTCCTTATCACAACGCAAAATTGGAGCAGAAAACTATCTCTGCTATCTTATTAATAATGAAGACAATTATATAAATGGTTTAAAAGTAATACAGGAGATACAGGGTAACTTATTAAATGGGAAACAAACCATGAAATGTGTCTGATGTGAAAGCATTTATTTATAGTAAGATAAAATTTTTTCTCAAAAACCACTGAGCCTTTCTGGCTAGAAACTCCCTTTATAGGGGTAAAAGGACCAGTAAGATACTAACCTTAATGCTGCAGTCTGAACAATTCAAAACAGAATCTCTTAACCAAAGCACAGCATCTGGTGTCCACATGCCAACAGACTGTGGAAGATCAGCTAAAGAACACTTTACAGCCTGATGGGAAGAAAGTACACACTTAAAAATAACTATTTATGAATAATGTCACTATTATTTTCTTGCAAGTCAGATGTTGCCAGGAGAGCAAGTAAGAGCTACAGCTGATAATGATAATCACTGCTCTTGGCTTGAGCTATGTCCCTGGCTCTATTTATAACACTACTACCGTCTTTCCTCCTTTTATCAGCCAGGGCTTGTACCAGGTGCTTCTCACCCCACAATACTTTTCTGCATGACAGATGCCATGACACCATTTTGCAGGTGATGAAATGACTCAGAGACTAGCTTGTGGAAGACCACAATGTTGAGCAGTCAGGGTTGTGACATATATGCAGATCTTCCCGCTCAGTCCAACTTAATGAAGTGGCACTTAAAGGAAACCCAACTCCTTTCAGGCTCTCTCTGGAAGCTTATGGGCTCCACTCCTCATCTCCTGAGCATCTCGTGGGTGCCAAGCATTTGTGCTCATCTTTTGATGAACGTTGTGATGAGAATTAGAAAGGATAGGAAAACTGATGTTCACGGGACCTGAAAGCCTTATTTTCACCAATACTCTTTACCATCCCTACCACTACCCAAGTTGCTGAAGAATGGCCACTGTAGAGAATAAGAGGTGAGCTTGCAGATCCTTTTGTGTGAGCCTTTGAATTGACGGAGGCAATTTTGTGAGGGGTCTGAAATCTACCTTCCAGATTCCTTCTTTCCTCTCTAAGCCCCTTCTCCTCTATCCTACCTCTACCTTCTGGGCTTGGGCTCCAAGCCTCTCACTGTACTAGTTGCACGTGGTGAGGAGGTGGTCACTCAGAGCTGAAAGCACTCCGGGATCTGCTGGGACTGGTGAGCAATGGCCAATGAGGCCTGGCTACAGAGAAGGCTACAGAGCTCCCAAGGGCACTGCTTACCAAGGAGGTCCTTAGGACAGTCAGATATTTTAGTTTACTAAAAGAGAAGCTAGAAGTAGCCATTCTGGGGAGAAATTTTCTGACTTTAAAATCCTGGTAACAAATTCACAAGTTTAAAATACTGCTAGAGACAAGTCAAACCATAATGTTTATGATCAGCTTTCACTGACAGACCATCAGTTTGCTACTGTGACTTGGACCTCTTAGGAAGATGTTAACCAGAGGACTGGGTGAGGAGGCCTTTAAGGGTCCCCAACCAGTAGTCCTCACATCTACCTAAGAATGAATTTCCATACGATTAAATTATTAAAAAAAAGGTCTAATACCAGGTAATGCAGCAGCAGAAAGAGGATACTAATGTACGACTTTCAGACAGACAGCAGTGGTCTGGATCCCTCTCCCCTCCAGGCTAGGGAACTTTTTCAAGGTAAGGCTGACCTTGGACCAATGTTTCAATAAGGAGCTACAGAGGCCAAACTGTTAGACAGCAATAGTAACACGAAGAGACTATCAACTTCCAGTATTACAGCTGAGCAATAGAGCAAAAATGATTTTGAAAATGGGCTTGAATAAATGTTGAGCAGATTCTCTGTAAGAGTCATTGTTAAAAAAGGCAATAGTCTGGAGTGAGAAATGCTAAACAGCTATATTAGTTATGGACAAACTGGTTTTGTATACTGAGTATGATGACAGAGGTCCTCTGGAAAATATTAGTCAAGGCGCATTTTGCTATTACAGAGTATTAGTTTTATTTTTTTAAAAATATATTAATTTCTATACAAAAATCTGTACTTCTCCCAAAGGAATTAAATGGTTCTGTTAACTTTAATGGACTAAAAATAATTAAAATTTCTTATTATTTGAATGTTTACTAAGAGGGGAAGGATAGGCTGTTAATCTTTTTATTAAAATGTATGAGAGAAGACATATAATAAATGAAACATTTAACATATGAATAGATTTCCAGAGAATTGCTGACTAATTTAACTATGAACTCTGGAAATAAACATTTACATACAATGTTCTGGAGCTGTGTAGAAGTCAGTACTGGCATTTAATAATTAAAATAGAACCTTTAACTGGACAACACAGCCTAATGACTTGGTGTACTTGAAAACAAACATATCACACAATACTCTGTAAATGTGACTGGGCTTCTTGTCTTAGAAAAGTTTTACTTCTGAAAACTGGTAAATAATCACACTTGGATAATTTGATATTTTGTTTTTTTACAAGCTAGGACTTTGATCATAGATCAAAATCGAGAGAGCATCTCATAACACAATTATAAATAAACACCTCCAAACCTCTCCCAGAAAATCTCCAGGTTTACGACTAATCGTACCTGAGGTGGTATTGAAATCATTTCTTGTAGAAACCGAGGTGGAATTTCTCTGAGCTTTGACACTTTCACAGAGGTTGCGCTGCCAGCGTCAAGGAACTGAACATCAAGAGCTCGGCTGCTGTGAACATTTGTGATCTGAGGTAAGACAAGCATTGGCTAATTTATTAGCATATGCAAAAGACCAAAATACTTCTGTGCAATTACATCTTACAAAGTCCTAAATTTCATATTAAAAGTAACAAAAATTATGTTATTAATTTAAAAACTTCCCTTAATTTAAAATGTATTTGTATACCAAATATTATTTTAGAGTACAACTGATTTTAATATCTAGCTTTTAATTCACTTAATCAGTAAACTTCATAAAAATAATATTTACTATTTCTCTGATTCTAGGACATTATGAAGTAACCTGATACATTAACAAATACTACTGATTGGAAGATACAGTCTGATATTTTAAAATCATAACATATTTTATAGCTTCACCAGAGAATCTAGTAATTCTTATCATTCTCTGCTAACAGAAAAAACTTAAAACTCAGGAAGTCATAGAGAAGTAAAATAAAGTTCAAATTAATAGTTTCAAAAATGGAGAAATTAGGGAGTGGGTGTGATGGTGCACCCTTGCAGTCCTAGCTACTCAGGAGGGGCAGGAGCGTGGCAAGTCTGAGGTCAGCCTGGGCAACTTAGTGAGCCTCTCGTCTCAAAACAAAAAAATTTAAAAAGGGCTGGGGATGTAGCTCAGTGGTAAAGTGCTTGTCTAGCTTGAGTTAAGGCCTGGGTAGTTTAAAAAGCAAAAAAGGAGAAACTACAGAGTCAAGCAATAATTATCTCTATAATTATTTGTACAACTGTCAAGAACAAATATATCATACAACACAGGATCTGCTTCTCATTAATCATTTTTTCCTAACTTCCATACACCAATAAGATAACACTTAAACCTTTTGTCTTTCTCAAAAGTAGACAACACACAATTTGATAATAATACAAATAATATCACATATCTATATAAAGTATTTGGGCATATACTGAGAAGGTGGTTTTTTTTTGTTTCTTAGTTCTGTGGATAGAACCCAGGGCCTCGTGCATGGCTGGGCAAGTATTTTACCATTATTCTATTACCACCTCCCCCAACTTATTTTGAGCCAGGGTCTCAGTGAGTCATCCAGGTAATCGTCCTGCCTCAGCCTCCCAAATAGCTGGGATTACAGATATGCACCATGACCAACGAGAAAATATTTTTGCCCAAAATGCATAATCTGAATTTAAACATAAAGATACTCAAATTGAGAGATAATTACAAAATGATGTTACTTTTCAAAAGGCCAGGAACAACAAAGACTGATTAATTACAGGTTGGAGGGTACTAAGAAGACGTGACAACTGCATACAACGTAGGATCTTGCACTGGATCCTGGACCAGAAAAAGAACATCTGGAGGACAATTTGGGAAATATCAAATAGTTCTGTAGATTAATTAATAGTATTATATTACTGTTAATTTCCTAGTTTTATAATTATACAATGGTTATTTAAGATGTTAAGATTTGAAAAGTACAGGGCAAATAGGAGCTCTTTATACTATTTTTGTAACTCTTTAGAGTATGAAATTGTTTAAAAAATTTTAAAAAGTATTTCTACATTTATATATTATACACTAAATAGCACAAAGTTTTAGGATATGAATAATGTCATGTTCTTTTCAATATGTCATGTTTTATGGGCCGGGGATTTTGCTCAGTGGTTCCAGTGGCTGCCTCGCAGGTGCAAGGTCCAGAGTTCGATCCCTGGTACCCCCCCCCCCCAAAAAGTTCCAACTCAATATGTCACATTTTAAAATTTATGGCTAAGTATGTAACACAAAACCCTTGGTCATACAACTCTAGACATCAGTATTCTGGTACATATTCACAATAATGACAATAATTACTCCAAAATTGTTGTTTTCACTGATGTAGACATGACCAAGTTTTACTTCAAGAGAAAATCAGTACAATTTATGAAAACAATGCTGTGCAGCATTTTTAAAAAGCAATAAAGCAATGATTCTTATCCTCTTAGGGTGAGTTTCTGTGACAGTCTTAAGAAAATTATGCATCCTTTCCCCCCCAAATGTAAAATGCAAACACATACACACAAAAAGTATGCATACAATTCTCAGAAGCTTTAGGGACCTCCTAAAAGTAAAGATCCTTGCATCTATGTGAAGAACCTATGCATTCAGAGGGAAAAAAAAAACCCACAAAAAATAACAATGGTAAGCCAAGATTTTCAACTTTAGTAACTGAGCAAACTAGAAATGGAAGGCAGGGAGGGAGGGAGGTGGGGAGGAGGGATGGACAGAGGTAAAGAGAGGAAGAAATAACAACCACAAAAATTCGAAACCTGCCTTTTAAAAAACATAGAAATAAAGGATAAAATTCTTTCCAACTTTGTAACTTAACTTGCAAGAAAATAAGGCAATTTCTAGGGGCTAGAAATAGAAGAGTATGTGAACACCAAAGCCAACTCTATCTTGGACAAGATGTGCCCTCAGACCCAAGCAAGAGGGAGGGAGGATCTGAAACACTCTTACTGGAGAGCCAGAACTCTCAAAGGGCTCTACCCTCATTGGAGGGGTGACCTTAGAGAGGTACTGATAAGGCTAAAGCTATGCATTCCCTGTACCCAGAAACTCTTGTATGCAACCTGGGAGATACACATAGGAGGGTTTATGGCAATGTTAATTTATAAGAAAAGTTACAATCTAAATGGTTATCATCAGACTCCCACAAGCACAGAGGAGGTGAGTCACACACACTCCACCCCCCCACCCCACCCCGCCCCTGTAGAAATGAGAAGACACGTAAACAAGTCTCAAAACTGGACTTTCAGATCACCTACAGCAACCCCAAAGGGAAACGAGATGGAACACTCTGATACTCAACCACCTGGACTCCCTGAACTGGCAACAAAAAAGAATCTGGAAAAAATGAAATCAGAAATAATTTCTCAGCTAACAGGAGAGACTGTGCTCCTAGTGCAAGACATGATTAATAAATCTGGAGAGGAGCTCAGGAACATGATGGAATCCCAACATGGGAAACAAATGGAATCCATAAAACAGATGCAAACAGATTTCCAGGACATGAAAAACTCCATTGAAAGTCTACACAGCAGAATGAGCCAATGTGAGGA